CTCCAAGTCAGGGATCAAACTCATGCTGAAGTGGCTTTAGCTTCTTAAGGCTGCATTTTAACTTGCTGCACCACCAGGGGAGGGCCCTCTGTTAGTATTTTGAGTGAAATTAAGTCATCTGTAGATCAGTTTGTGATTTGACAAGTTCATAAAACTTGTCTAACAAGTTCATTGAGTCTAACAGATTGTGAACATGCTATATAGCTCTGCTTATTTAGTCTTTAATCTTGCAGCACTGTTTTGTAGTTTTATACAGACTGTACAAGTTTTGTTAGATTTAGATTTAAGTAGTATTTTTTGTGTGCAGTAATATGTGGTGGTAGTTTCCTAGTAAATTTTGCACATTATTTAGAATTTGTAGATATTTTATATATTTCCTTATGTTGAAAATGAAATTTATTTTCCAAGTAGTTATTGCTTATCTAAAGTAGGTTGGGTCTTTTAGACCTTATCAGAGCTTTATCTTTCTTAAAAACACTCACTTGATTCCTTTATTCATAATGGAATAGTTACTCATATGGAAAAAAGTATGATTTCTGAACTTGGAGTTCAAGGACTAGTTTGGCAACTCTTCTTCTAGCTTCATCTTTCATTCTCCCACCCTCAGGCACCTTATCTTCCTGTTAACACCTTCAAGCAGTGATATGAAATGTAATCATCAGCAGCTCTTCAGCATTTAAATGATAAAACACTACTGCTGGCTTGAAAAAAATATTTTGAATGAGTACAGAGTAAATTGCTGTGGGTTTGCACAGCCCACAGGTCTCTGGGAAATAGCAGCTTTGGAGAGTCTCCTGCTCCTCCTGCAGCAGTCACTGTCACACTGGCTTTTTTTGGTGCAAAGACTTTAGGTTACAAAGGCGAAGAAAGAGGAAAGCTGGCAACACTGTCAGTGCTGCAAAATTCTGCTGATAAAGTATCAGCTATAGAATATACAGTGGGAAGGACTTTATGCCATTGGGACCTTGTTGTTTATGATTCACATTTATTAAGATTTCTACACTATGTTTTCATTGTTTAGCTGCCTTAGAATATTTTTTTAGTAATTGATTAGTTAATAATTAATTATAGAAACAAAATTCTAATTTGTTTCAAGTAAATTTATCAATGAACAGCAGTCCTTTATGGGTTATTTTTTAAAAAAATTATTTTTATTTATTTATGCATACAAGAACTGGGGTAGGCCAGAGGTGTGGAGGGTGAGAGGATCCACTAGAGACAGAGTGGGGAAATGTATTGAAATATACTACTAAGGGGAACTTCAGATGAAACAAGGAGAGGTCTCCCATATGTTAGTACCTCTCTGGCTGGGATATAACTCATGCTGCGTGGCTGGCTATAGCTTAATAACCCTGATGCTTACCCTGTACCACCAGGCAGGCCCTGGATTATTTTTTAATTGCCCCCTCCTTCCCCCCTCCAGTTAAAACTTGACAGTAGAGGCTGCAGCAGGAGAATTGGTTGCCTTGTTGGATGATTAGCTGTGATTGGTTCTTCTACTGGTATTACTTTGTTTAGTGAAGTTTGTAGTAGATCATTTCTAAAGGGCTTTATACTTTTGGAATCCATGATCATAGTAGTAGGAAGAAATTTATAATTTTTAAAGCAGAGACAAATGTAATCCACTAGAGGGAGCTTTGCTTCTTTTTAATTTTTAAGACTTCATTTTTGAACACTTTCAGACAAGGTTGTGTAAACTATATGTGAGCCATTTATCTAAGAGCTATAAAGCCAATGTTTGTTTACCCACATTTGTATCTTTTCTCTTGAGGAGATCCTGATTTCTGTATTAGCTATCCCCTTGTTTTTCTTTTCAAACATTTATCCTTAAACATACTGCTCTACATATATTGCTTTTGAAATATTTTTCTCTATTGAACTTAAGCAGATATTAAAGAGTATGTTTCTTCTCTGTCACTTGTTCTTTTGTTTTTCATGATTTCTGAGCTTCATCCATGCAATGTTGTGTTTAATTGTAGTTCTTCAATTTAATGGAATTTCTGTACCTATTTTATCTGCTCTCCACCGGGTGGAGATTTGGGTTGCTCCTAGTGTTTTTGCTATAATAAACAGTGTTGCTCTGAACACATGGATGTGTCTCCTTCTGTATGTGAAAGAGTCTCTTCAGGATGCTTGGGGAAACCGAGGACGGGAGTTAGTTTACAGGGTCTGTGCATGTTCAGCTTTTACTGCCAGACTGTTTCCCATAGTAGATATGCTGAGTTTTACTGCAGTCTTAGAAAATATTTGATCTTGACTGATTTAAATTTTGCCAATCTGGTAGGTGTTGTAATGCGATGTTGGATTTTGGATTTCCTTGATTAGTGATGAAATTAGGTTTCTTTTTATGTTTAATCATCAATTTCATCATTAGTGATGTAATTAACTATCTTTTTATAAGTTTAGTCATCATTTCAGATTCTGGAAATGCCTGCCTGATTCATGTCTTTGGTCTTTTTATATAGCATTTTTCCTTATACATTTTTAGGAATTAAAAACTCCCTAAATTCATTCCATTATGGTATCAGTGTTTAGCAGCCACTCCCTGTGCCCTTCTAAAGTGCACATTTATCTGCCATTCTTTGTTTCAGACACAGTTTTGTTTCATGGGAGTGATTCTTTGTGGCTTTTGGCTCAGCATTCCGAGTCAGTCTTCCTTTCTCATAAGAAATGGCTCATGTTTGGTGGAATAGTTTTCTTAGATCTGTCTTGCATATAGAAACTTGAGATTCTGGGTTTTACATTTTGAATTGTTTCCCTTTCTGTCCAAGTGGATGTTGATTCTCCTATTTCTATTAATCTTACTGTACATTAGCCAAAAGTCAAATTCACAGGTACCAATTCTGCTCTTCCTTGGGCTGCTTAGAAGTCTGCTATGGTATAGCACTGTTAAAATTCTTTAACTTCTTGTTTAAGAAATCTGTTAGGTACTGCTTACAGTCTTTCTGAGGTTATAGCCAAAGACTGTAACTACACACTTGTGACTACCCAGGGAACCATGTTTTATTGAAAACATCTGGATTTCGATATTTGGTATAAGGCCATTTTTATTTTGAGAACCTTTTGCTGTGAGCTTGGGGAAGAGAGTTTGGGTTTTGAATCAGGTCAAGACTCCTTATGTGTTAAAAACTAAATAGTTTCTTAGTTTATCTCTTTGCAGGCTCTTTTGCCATTCTTGGACAGTTTCTTAGTGAGATTCTCTTTTTATTTTCCATATTATTGCAGGTGACACTTTACACCTTTTACCACTATGTGATATGGATCTTTTCTCCCAATTCTAGTAACAGCTTCCTCACTGTTCTTCCAGCCTCCACTAACTGTCTCTGGATGTCCTTCAGATCTCCACCTACTTCCTGGTCTTAATGCTGGGTTGTATAACATCACTGTTCTGGTTGTATAGCATAGCTATGCCCAAACTCAGTGGCTTAAAACAGTTGTGAATTTTATATAATTTTGTGGGTGAAGGATTTGGAAGGGCTTAGATGCAGCTCTGGAGGCTGAAGAATCCACTTGGTGACTTTCTCAGTCACAGGTCAGGAGATTTGGTATTTCTTGACCTCACTTTCTTTCCAGATAGTGTCTCATCTTCTACGGCTCCTTTCTGTTGGTGAGACATGTCACAGCATGCTAGTCAAAGGGTAGTCACGAAGAGTTTTGCCAGAACGAATGACACATGAGGGAGCGATCCATGCCAGTATTTCTACACTGAACCTTCAGACTCTGTGTGAAGTATAATATACCAAGCAAGGAGGGTTAATCTTTACTAGAAGCAGTTATACAGATGAATATAAGGCCAAATGATTGTTATGACAACATAACTCTTTCTCAGCAAGTATTACTGAGAACTTATTGATCAATAGCTTCTATTTTCATATTTACCATCTATAAATTTCAGCTAGAGTAAGGAGGCAGTAAAGATTGAGCTGGGGTCTCTCCCTGGTGGCACAATAGGTTAAAGCACCTCATTATGAAATTCTCTGAAGCCACTGCAGCACAAGTTCCATCCTGGGCCAGGGAGCTGATCCACATGGTGTGGCAGACCTGTCCTGACCCACTCTGGAAATTTAATAACATCCTTTTGGTAGGGAAGCTTCTTTGGATATGGTTTCAGGGGTGAGGAAGGAGGAAATCTAAAAACCAAGAAGGCAGTCTCCATTACTGCAGTCAGTTGATCAATGAGAACGAATGAACTTATTCTGGTTCAGCTGGCTAGCTTTGAGAAAAACCTGCTTTCCTGTGGTAAACTGATTCCCTCAGCAGTGTACTTTATTAATCTGCCTGTTCTGTTCTTCACTCTCTGGTGAATCCTCTCACCCAACACACCTCTGGCCTGAACCCCGGTTCTGTAAGCATAAATAAATAAATCTTAAAAAAAAAAAAAAGGATTGAGTTGGGTAAAAGAAATGACTTATGGGCCCTCCCTGGTGGTGCAGCAGGTTAAAGCACAGCACTAAGAAGTTAAAGCCACCTCTGCATGAGTTCGATCCCCGCCTGCCCCTGAGGTGATCCACATGAGCTGCAGATCTCTGCTGACCTGCCTGCTGCTCCCTTCAGTAGTGTACTTTGTCGATCTGCCTGTTCTGCTCCCCACTCTGTCTCTGGTGAATCCTCTTACTGCCCCTGCACCTCTGGCCTGTACCCCAGTTCTGTATGAGTAAAGAAAAAGAAAAAGAAAAAGAAAAAAGAAATGACTTACCTGAACACCCATTAAGAATTTTTAATTGCAAAAATCAAATGATAAGGGAATTAGTTTATTTAAAAATGTGTCACAAATTGGATTTCTGTGTTTCTTCATAATTTGGTGGGCATACTGAATAAATATTTAAAAAATCTATTTTGGGGTCAGTTTCACTGTTTGTAATGATTTGAATAACTATGAACTCATTATGTGAAGTTTGAAATTATTATATAAATTCTCAAGCATAGAAGTGGGGACCAATGTGGGGATATCTGTGTGTCCTATTGACTGCAGTAATGGAGATTGCCTTCTTGGTTTTTAGATTTCCTCCTTCCTCGCCCCTGAAACCATATCCAAAGAAGCTTCCCTACCAAAAGGATGTTATTAAATTTCCAGAGTGGAATGATCCCCCACTGCGCACTTCGCAAGAGAACATTCCTGTGAGGCCAGTGGTAATGGTAAGTACCATTATTAACAGATGGGACCAACAGCTGGCGGAAATAGTCTATAATTCGCCAACTTTAAGTATCTAAAATTTTTTTTGTCAGTTATAAACGATGTGCTGAAAGTGTTTTAGAACAATATCTTACCTGTGAGTAACTCAGAGATTAGTAACAAAGATTGTTGCATTTTTTATTATTGCTTATTGATGTTTTAACTGAATATACATAGTAGTTATTTTCCTATGTTCAAACTTAATAGTTTATATTAAAAGTACTTATAATCTCTTTTTCTTTGTGTTCTATAATTTGTTCTTTTTCCTTATATTTCCTCTTACTGAACTTTGTTAATTGTCAGTTGAGAGATAGAAGTTTGGAGCATGGCATGTAATAGGATCAGCCCTAACACAGTACTGGAACAGAGGGAGATTCTGCAAGTCTTGGTAAACCAAAGCTCACTGAGGCATAAATAATCTTCTTGGGGGCATACCTTTTCCTTAAAATATTCCCAGTAGATGTGTATTTTTTATATAAATGCAACAGTTTCTATGCTTGATTTTAAAAAACAGACACCTAATTTATATATATATATATATATATATATATATATTTTCTTTTTTTTTTTTTTTTAAGATTTATTTTATTATGTATTCAAGAGCTGGAGTGTAGGCCAGGCCAGAGGTGCGGGATGGGTGAGAGGATTCACCAGAGAGAGAGTAGGGAACAGAACAGGCAGATGGACTGAAATACACTGCTGAAGGCAACAGCAGGTGAGACAGGAGCTGTGCCATTTGGGTCAGCTCCCTGGCTGGGGATGAAACTCATGCTGCACTGGCTATCTATAGCTTCATAATGCTGAGACTTACTTAACCCCTTGTGCCACCAGGGAAGCCCTAATTATAGTCTTTAAAAAAAAGAATCACATGTCATTTGGCCTTTGAATTTCTTTTGTAATTCAGAAATTCTCCAAAAACCAAGTCAAAGTCAAAACAACCTTCCAGCTTCTTTTTCCTAGATTAATAAGATTTTTCTTTAGCCCTTTTGCAAAAACTATTATAGAAACTTTTTTTGTAATTTATCATATATTTTGCCTTTAAAATTTAATTCTGTATGAAATGTCCATAATATTCCGATTCTTAAAGATGGAAAATGAATTAGTAGTTGCCACAGACTAGAGAGAAGAGGATTGACACTTGACTGGAATAAGGTTTCTTTTGGGTTGGTAAAATTTTCTCAAATTAGATTGTGATGGTTGCACAGCTCTGTGAACATACTAAAAACCAATGACTTATACACATCAAAAGGTTGAGTCCTATATAAATTATGTCTCAGTAAAGCTGTTATTAAAAATAAGAGTTCAGAGTTCTTCTCTGAGATTACTGTAAGGGAGTTTTAAGACGTATGTTTTGTGTTTTGTGAGGAAGGTGATCACTTAGAATGCTGCAATGGTAGAGTGGTGTGATTTAACTTGTTTAACTTCTCTAAGCTTTAGATTTTGTCCTTGTATCTCTAGCTGTCTTATGGACTTTATACTTTTCCCTAAGTACTCTATGTACTTTTTGCCAATGTGTAAGTAAATCTGGAAGCTGCTCTCCAACATTAAATGTGATGACCTTTGATTATAAAAAAAAGAGTTAGTAGCAGACTAACTTTTTCTTAAACAGTCACTAAATTTGGTTAATAGATTTGGATACATATTCTTTGATATAATTTTAGATTAAGAAAAATATTTTCAGCTACTGCGCTGATTAGTTACAACTTCCACAGGTCAAAAAAGCTAGTAAATGTTTTATTGCCAGAACTCTGCAATTCATGAATATTTGTTTATAATATGTCTTTGTTATAGTTTAATTTTTTGAGGACAGAAATGTCTCATATGATCATACCATTGCCCATTAAAATGTTTATTCTCTTTTTTTTTCCCTTCTCCACAATTAGAATTCTGAAATGTGGTTCAAGCGTCACAGTATTGCTATTGGAGAGGTACCTGCTTGCCGCCTGGTCCACCGCAGACAGCTGACAGAGGCCAATGTAGAAGAGATATGGAAGTCTATGACCTTATCCTAGTATGCACATTTGCTATTAATGAGAACTTTTAGTGTTTTCTAATTTGCTTCTTGATGACTCTGCATACTTAGTTTTATGTATTAAAAAATACCTCAACCTGGGCTTTCCCTGGCGGCGCAATGGGTTAAAGCACCACTTTATGAAGCTCTCTAAAGCCACTGCAGCATGATTTTGTTCCCCGCCAGGGAGCTGACCCACGTGGCGCAGCAGATCTCTCCTGACCCACCCATTACTCTCCTCAGCAGTGTACCTCGTCAGTCTTCCTGTTCTGTAGCCCACTCTGTCTCTGGTGAATCCTCTCACCACCCCTGCACCTCTGGCCTGTACCCCAGCTCTGTATGCATAAATAAATTAAAAAAAGAAAAACCTCAATTTTGAGGTACATTATTTGCAACTATGCTGCTTAGTAAATATAGTTTAACTGAATTCTGGGAACTTTCAGTTATCATTACATAATAGCTAAGAACAGGAGTTTAAAGATTGTTAAACTTTCTAGTAACACTGAAATCTTAAGAAGAACAAAATACATAATGGAAAATTTGTCTAGATAGTTGATGAGCTATCTACAGGTAATTAAAGTTAGTGACATTACAGCAATTTTTTTCTCACGGAAATGTACTAGTAGCAGTTTTTGGATAAGTGCATTTTTTACTTTTATAATGTCTTATAAAATTATTTTCTTAGCATTCAAAGTATTATTAAGTTAGTGAAGCAGTATGTTAATGACAAAAGGGTATCTTTTAAATTTGTTTTTATATACTCAATTTCTAACCTCTTTGTCCCACAAATATTGGGTGAAATGCATAAAATAGTACATTTTAATGATCAGTATTTTACAGTGCCATATTTAAGGGTAAATAACATGTTTTTGAAAGTAATTATTGTTTTTTAGTTTACAGAAAACTCTTGGCCTGGGTTCCTTAGAAGAAGTTTTAGATGTTAAACTTGTTAATTCCAAGTTCATCATTCATAATGTGTATAGTGTGAGCAAGCAGGGAGTTGTTATCCTTGATGACAAGTCAAGTAAGTGCATATAAACCATCTTGCTCTCATGCGACTCAATACTTTGGCTGCACTAGCTTCTATTTGACCCTTTCCTAAACACTGAGCAAATTTACCTATTCATTTCATACATCTTTCACTTACTGTCTAATACCTCTTAGCTAACTGTTTAAATTAAGGAAATATTATAAAAAGATGGACATTCAGAAGTGAAAACCTCAGAAAAATCCATCAAATGCTACTTCACTGTTAGCTATATTGAACATTAAGTGATCCCTTATTATTCTTGCAAAATCCATGGAAAGTGAGTCAGTTTAACATCTGAGGGCTTGTATTGATTTTAATGTGGGTCCTGTGTTCCTGTGGTTCTGTGGTTGATTTTTAAGGTTCTGATTGACCTTTTTATTATGATTTTTTTTAAACATATTTTTAGGATAATGTTGGCTTATATCACTTTTTGATTAATAAAAGTAACTCTTTAAATGTAGAAAGTGCTTCTCCTCTAATCCAGTTTACAAATCAGGAAGAAAAGACCTTTAGCAGTTGTCTTTCTTGGTTTTTGATTTCGAAAAATTAAGTTGTGGTACCTATGGTAGACCAGAATCTGCAAGCTGATTCTGATTAAAATGCTTTCAGGATCAGGATTGGGGCAGAATAAGATGGGCTGTTCTATTGGTTTTTCCTTTAGTTCAAACCCTTGTTTCTGGGAATTGGTTGGAACTAGAATGATCATTGGATATGGGAAGATGATGTGGCATTTTTGAGATTCTATAAAATATCATTACATTTAGGGTTAGAGTTTCCTGGACAGTGGCGCTGTAATAGAAAGAACCTGAGCAGGGTAGGGGGTGGAGTGGGGGTTGTGCCTGGTGATGTAAGGGTTAAGTCTCAACACAGTGAAACTGTCCTCAGCCACTGCAGCATGAGTTGGATCCCTGGCTAGAGAACTGACCTACATGGTACAGCAGACCGCTCCAGTTTTGCATACTGCTTCCCTCAGCACTGTATTTCAGTCAATCTACCCGTTCTCCCCACTCTGTTTGTGGTGAATCCTCCCAATCCTCCCCCCCCCAACCACCTCAGACCTACACCCCAGTTCTATGCAAAAATAAATAAATACAATCTTAAAAAGAAAGAAAGACAGAAAGAAAGAATTTGAGCAGTTGTGAACAGGAATGAAGACGTTCTGGCTGTGTTTACTGGTAAGACTTGAATGTGTCTTTGCAACTTGTTAACACTTTACTTTTTATAGTTCTTGTGTCAGTAATGGAGGCCCTTAGAACCCAGAAATAAAGGGATTTTTTGATGTCATGAGTTGTCAGGTTAATATAAACATAAACATTAAATTCCATTGAATGGGGAGATAGCCTTATAAAAAAATATCTGAAATTCTTCTACATTTTCTGGTGCAGCAAACACAAGTGCTTTCAGCTGCCAGTTACATGACCATTTATCTTTTATTTCATTAAGTCAGCTCTTCAGAAAGAAGTGAACATGTCACAAAACTTAGGTTCATTAGATTTAACATGGTTAAGTAGTGTTTTTGTAGTTTTTATAGAGAAAATAGAGAAATGGAAGTATCATTATTGGCCTGTCTCATCAGATGTCTGTGGCAGAGCTACAAAAAAGCCCTGGACCAAATGATTGAGCTAGGAAAATTTTTTTACAATACTATTATTTGAAGTCTGTTCTAATGCTGATAGCCTATAATATCAGTGGTACTCTCTTTCTAGCCTTGCTTAAAACATTTTGTAAATTGAAACACAGAAAATGATACTTACATTGGACATTTGACATATAGAATATACTGTTGTTTTTAAAGGGAGTGTACTGGCTTCACAAATGTATCAGTATTTGATGGCTAATACTTTTGCTTTTTTGTATTTTTCTTTTACCTTTTATAGTTATTAGTATAATTTCTTTTACCTTTGATAATTATTAGAATAATAGTTTATTTGAAACTGAAGTTTTAAAAGGTACATCTTTTCATTAGAGAAATTTGCATGCCTGCAAATTACATGTTGTACCTACTATTAAGAAAAAACTTCCATGGTGTAAATGTTCTGATATATAGTAGGTAGTTTGTGATTAGCAGATATGTTTCATATTAATTTGGGTAAGAGATATGTTCTCATGATAGCAAGTATGTATATAATTCTTAGAATAATTCTGCAATTAAGTAAGATGTCTGTTTCCATTTTTTTGCAGAAGAACTTCCTCATTGGGTAATGTCAGCTATGAAGTGTTTGGCAAATTGTAAGTATTAGTTCTCTGCTAGTTTTATGAGATTACTGTCCTGAGTTACAAAATATTTTTGCTCAATAGTCTCAAAATTGATTTGATTCCTATGAGTTTGACAGTTCATTATTTTGTGACTACTGTAATTTACTAATAATTTTGTGACTTAGTGAAAGGACTGAGTTACAGAACATTTTTTTTTTTTATTCATACAGAACTGGGGTACAGGCCAGAGGCTCATGGGTGGCTTCACCAGAGACAGAGTGGGGAGCAGAACAGGCAGATCTACGAAGTACACTGCTGAGGGGAGCAGCGGGCAGGTCAGGAGAGGTCAGCCATGCCATGTGGTCACCTCCGGGGCAGGTGGGAATCAAACTAATGCGGAAGTGGCTTTAGCTTCTCAGTGCTGTGCTTTAACCCGCTGCACCACCAGGGAGGCCTACAGAACATTTTTTTTTTTTAAAGATTTATTTATTTATTTGTACATACAGAACTGGGGTACAGGCCAGAGGTGCAGGGGTGGCGAGAGGCTTCACCAGAGACAGAGTGGGGAGCAGAACAGGCAGATCTACAAAGTACACTGCTGAGGGGAGCAACGGGCGGGTCACGGGCAGGTCAGGAGAGGTCTGCCACGCCATGTGGTCACCTCCGGGGCAGGCGGGAATCGAACTCATGCAGAAGTAGTTTCAGCTTCTTAGTGCAGTGCTTTAACCCGCTGCGCCACCAGGGAGGGCCCCTACAGAACATTTTTAATGGGAATTTTGTGCTTCCCTTTCCTAGCGAATATAATCACTGCAGATAATAAACTATACTTCATACAGTTGTCTGTCACAGGAAAGGAAAATTAGAGAGAGTGATTGAAACTGCTTGTGAACAGTTCACAGGTTTTTATTCTTAAAATCTGTATTTTTCTTCATAAAAAGATGCCTGTACTTACATCATTGGTTTGCTTGATTGATCCTGGCTACTATTGGTTTTTCTTAGGGTAGTAGTTTAAATGGGAGGGAAATGTTATAGATGATTAATCTAACTGAAAAGCAAGATGGCTTAGGAGAAGAACCTGCATTCAGAGAAATGAGAAAGGCTATGTCAGTGCTTTAGATGTAAAATGAGAGGGCCAGGAACAGTTCCCTCTGAGGATTTTCATAGGCACATAATATCTGTTTCATAGGCATGAAGTCTGTTTCCTATGATATTCACTTCCTTGACTACCATAGACACTGTGAAAGAATGAGTTAGTATGTATCTTACTAGTAATCCCATTTTCCTGTGGATTTTTCTGAAGCCTTAATCCAAAGAAGGGGTTCTAACGTAAATGACTTAACCAAAACAAGTGATTTTAATATTTTGACTGGCTGATGATGTTTTTGTAGGGCCTTTGAACCTCATAGGTTACTGAGAGAGGTAGTTTCTGCATATTATGATAGGCATATATATTCTTGCATTAGTAGACCCTGAATTTTGATTTAACTGGAGTTAGTTTTGTTTGATTATATAAGATGAAACTGAAAACTGTTCAGTTTACTGTGGGTGATCTCAGTGATAATATGGAAAGTTATAATATTTTGAATTTGAGTAGCAGCTAACATTCTGAATATGAATATGAATATTAGTTTGTGTGAAGGTCACAGTTCTCTATTTAACTTAAAAGTTTCACTGGTTTTGGTTGATATTTTGGAAACTCTGAGATGTAGAGTACTGTGGTTTTTAGCTTGGGGGAGTGGTTTCTATTTATCCTGCTCAGCTATTTGAAGTAAATTATATTTAAATTATATCTTTGGCTAGAGTTGGCAGTGATGAGATAGAAGGTATAAATGGGATGTTAAATTACCCTTTTCTGAGTTCCTGGCAAGCCAAGTAGTTGGAAGTTGATTAGCTGAGAATGAACAGAGGAAGCTAACAAAACCTAAGTAACAGATCTATGCAATAGTTTGTTGTGAAGTATATGTTAAGGTGTGGCTATGATAAATTTTCAGTGATTATCAAAATGTAAAGAATTTCATTTTCCTTCAAGCAAGAATTATACACAAAGCAACAAAACTGACAGAAAGGTCAGACTAACTGGATTTATCAATCAGTGCAGAAAAAGATGTAAAGAATGCGTTAGTGTTCTTATGCGTGTGAGGTGTATGGGAGGAGGGACATGTCTCACGTCTATCAAGTGCAGTACTTGATGGCTGGTGGCCAAAGGGCAAGCTCAGCCTTTTGAACAGCTTTATAAAATCATTAATTTTTACAATTTGTCATTGACCCCCCCCACCACCCACCCTCAACCCCCCAACTTTACTTTGCATCTATTAAGGTCATGATCTTTTCCTTCTTATCCTTAGTGAGTCTAGATTTCCATGATAATTATTTATTAGGGAATACAAAATATAGGCTGAGTACATGGTATTTTAAGGCCCTGCCTCCTTTTCTGTGAGTCTACCTCCCCATGGGCCCATCTGCATTTATTGCAGAGCATATGTACCTAGAGGCCTATGAGCTTTTGTTGTTGGTCAGTCTAATATTTGACCACGCAGGGACTGAGACTAAGTAAATAAATAACACATTGTGTTTTCTTCTTCATTATGTCGGTTGTCAAAAATGAGAAAATTATTTACCAAAATCTGTGTGAATAACATTTATAAAAAACTGATTTTTTAGTTATGAAACATTGTGAAGGTCATAGTGATTAATATGCATAAGATGTTTCATAGGGCTCACTGTGTACTACCATTTTTAGGAAAGCCTTTTTGTTTATATATTTTTAACAGGTACAAAAAAAAAGAGAAACAAAGAATTTTAAAAACTTATCCTGTTAAGATTTATTTTTTATTTATGCATACAAGAACTAGGGTACAGGTCAGAGGTGGGGGATGAGAGGATTGACCAGAGACATAGTTGGGGATAGAACTGGTGGATTTACTGAAATATAGTGCTGAGCAGGGCAAAAGGCGAGCCAGGAGAGGTCTGCTGTGCCATGTGGGTCAGCTTCCTGGCTGGGGATCTAACTCAGGCTACAGTTGCTGACAATAACTTGATAGTATTGAGACTTTAGCCCCTGTGCCATCAGGGAGGCCCCTCAAAAGATATATTTTTTTAAAGATTTATTTACTTTTGCATGCAGAACTGGGGTACAGGCCAAAGGTGCAGGGTGTTGAGAGGATTCACCAGAAGACAGAATGGGGAACAGAACAGGCTGACTGACGAAGTGCACTGCTGAGGGGAGCAGCGGGTGGGTCAGGAGAGGTCTGCTGTACCATGTGGGTCACCTCTGGGGTGGGGATTGAACTTGTGCTGAAGTCCTTTAGCTTCTTAGTGCTGTGCTTTAACCCGCTGCACCACCAGGGAGGGCCCCCAAAAAACCATATTTTTAATAAGAATGGTGTAATATTCACAAGTACAACTGGTTAGAAAGACATGCTTACTTCTACTGGGAGGGAATTATTTGAGGCAATGTGTATTGATTGCTTGGATGTTTCAGAAGAAAAATGAACAAAAATGGTGGCCACATTGACTATTAGATTTATGTGGTAACACATAGAAAGATCTTTCATAGTTTTCATAATTTTACTCCATCAAATTAAGTTATAAGAAGTATGCAGAATATGAAAATGTAAGGGATTTTTCAAAAATATTTTTACTTCATTCTTCATTTTGTTCATTTTTCCATCTCACTGGTAATCCTCATAGGCTTCCCACCAACAGTTCATCCTGTGCCATCACCAGAGTCCCTTGCACTCTTCCCACCCCCGTTCTGATCCCATTCTCCTTTCCATTCCCCTAAAATGGCTCTGGTTTATAGTTGTTCATTTTCATTTTTACTCTATACATTTTTTTTTTCCTGACTCCCCCCCACCCCACCCGATGGTAAGGGATTTTTTTTAAGGTTAACAAAAAGCTATTTTCTTAGTGGCCCTGAAATGTAAAGGCCCAAAATGCTTCATTGTTTTTTTGCATTTGAGCCTTTCCATTTAATTACAGATACTCTGTAGGAAGAAATTCCTTTCAGCTTATATTGTGTTCACTTTTATTCTCTTGAGGGTACAAATCTCTTTGGGTACAGTTGTTTAATCTTGTCTTTCAATGGGCCAAATAGGCTTTGCATTCCTCTCTTCTCTGTTGTAGTAGAAATTCAAAGGTTAACTCATCTATTCCTCATGGGACTACTTGCCATTTCTTTCCATCAAGATAAAGTCACTGAGCAGTGACTCTGTGGTCTCTGTGTGTATTTTGAAGGCATTTGCTACCAGTTCTGTAGAGAACTCAATGTTCCTTGTTCCTCTTTGTTGCCAGATGCAAGTGGATCTTTACCTTGCTTTTGGCTGGGACCAGCTGTTTCAGGCTTCTTATACTTATTTGTATTTGTACTATGACTGCTTGATAAAATACAGTTTTATAATCAGATTGAAAAATAAGATAAGGACCCTCCCTGGTGGTGCAGTGGATTAAGATGCAGCACTGCAAGCTAACTACAGCTGCCTCAGTGTGAGTTCAATCCCCGGCCCTGGAGGTGATCCTCATGGCCCGGAAAACCTCCTGTTTTGCCCCCTGCTCCCCTCAGCAGTGTACTTCATTGATCTGCCTGTTCTGCTCCCCACTCTGTCTCTGGTGAAGTGCCTCACCACCCCTGCATCTCTGGCTTGTACCCTAGTTCTGTATGAATAAATAAATAAATCTTTAAAAAAAAAAAGATAAAAAATGTAACATCTTTTAAGAAAAAGTGCAGAATTTTTATTCTGAAATCATTTCATTAGTTGCAGAAATTATTTCACTCAACTTTTTTTTTTTTTAAGATTTTATTTATTTGTACAGAACTGGGGTACAGGCCAGAAATGCGGAGGGTGAGAGGATTCACTAGAGACAGAGTGGGGTACAGAACAGGCAGATCGACAAAGTACACTGCTGAGGGGAGCAGCGGGCGGGTCAGGAGAGGTCTGCCTCGCCTTGCGGAAGTGGCTTAAGCTTCTTTGTGCTGTGCTTTAACCCGCTGTGCCACCAGGGAGGGCCCTCACTCAACTCTTACTCTACAATTTTATAATATAGCAATGACAAAATAATGAAACTTTATAATAGTATAACTATAACTTACCTGTTATGTATGTGAGCTAATAGTTATCTTGGTCAACTGTAATTATTGACACAAGAGAAATACTATTTCAAAAAAAAAAACTGTCATTGTTTATATTTTATGAAAATGTCTGTCAGGAGAACATAAAACACAGTGGACTTTTTTTTTTTTTTTAATGGTGAGAGCCAGATAAAGGCCCACTTTTACTTATTTATTTATTTAGAAGATTTATTTATTTGTGCATACAGAACTGGGGTACATGCCAGAGGTGCAGGGGCAGCGAGAGGATTCACCAGAGACAGAATGGGGAGCAGAACAGGCAGATCAACGAAGTATACTGCTGAGGGGAGCAGCTGGCGGGTCAGGAGAGGTCTGCCTCGCCATGTGGATCTCCTCCCGGGCAGGCGGGGATCGAACTCGTGTGGAAGTGGCTTTTGATTCTTAGTGCTGTGCTTTAACCTGCTGCGCCACCAGGGAGGGTAGTCAGCCACTGATTTTCCTCATTCTTTTATAATAGCTTTCAGTTTAGACAGTGGGTTTATTACCTATTTGTGTTAAATTGTGCATATTTGTTGTGCAAACAAATTTATATCATGTTCTTCCTAGGAAAATTTTTCTGACTATCCTACATGTGGAGAGACTGATACTTGGAAGTATTGCCCCATTAATGTTTCTCTTTTTTTTTTACACAGGGCCTAATTGTTCTGATTTGAAACAACCTATGTATTTAGGATTTGAAAAAGATGTCTTTAAAACAATTGCAGATTACTATGGTCATTTGAAGGAACCTCTGCTTACATTTCATCTTTTTGATGCCTTTGTCAGTGTACTAGGTAAGCTGAATTACAGTGAGCAGATGTCTGCATTATTGATATGGAATCATTTCATTTTTCCCTACCTTGAAAATTTCATTAACCAAAACTTAAATCAATTTTGAAAATAAAAACTTACCAGGTGCTTGCCTAGTTGGAGTCCTGCTCTGTAAGGAGGAAATAAAATTGGTTACGCTCCATTGTGAAACTCAAAGCAAGGACCAAGAGATTTTATAATTTAAGAAAGAGTAATATATTACATGCCATTTGTACAATATAGGAGAAGAATGTAAATTTGCCATTTACTGATTATGAGAAAAATCTACTACTCTGGATATGATTTCATGAACTGTGAAATATACAAGGTGAATTTTCATTGAGAAATCTAACCTCTTTTTCTAAAAAGAACAAGTTTTTGTACCACTATTTGTTGTCTTAAGAAATGTGTTAAATGGAAATAAAGTCTTATTGATAGGTAATGAGTTTTTTAGATAACCAAAGTGAGGATTTGAACCCAGAAAGCAGTTGGACAGATTTTACTCTGTGAGAGTTGTTCCAATAAACACAAATTTGAATTTTGTATAGATAGGCAGGAATAGTGAATCACTGGCATTAAGATTGCAATTATGCTTGATAGGAGGGGCTTCTGGTTCTCAATTGCCCTGGCTTAAATCTTTGCTGATGCTAGAGGAGGGAAATGCAGCATTTAATCTCGTCCTTTTCAAAGAACTGGCTGCAGAGATTCAAAGACTGGGTACCCATTATTATACCTTTTTTATCTGGCTCCTTGGTGAAAGTTAGGGTGAAAAGACTTGCTTTACCTTCAGACATCAGATTTTGGGTTGCTGTTCTAGACATGCAGAGGGTTTTGCTGGTGAGGAGGGTCCATCATGTAAGAGAGCCAAGCCATAGCTATTTATGATAGAATTTACATGTCAAAGACACATGGTAAAAAGAAAAAAAAATCAGCATTTTACTTTAGGTCTTTCTGTTATTCATTTCTTTTTTGGAAATCAGATTTTCTTATTGCTGTTATGATTATTTAATATATATTATCATTTTCTTGTCAACAGGCTTGCTTTGAACATTAAATCGTCATATGGATATCATATGTTATATAAATTTGTGTTATTAACATTCCTTTGTTTTTGAGTATCATGTGCTTTAGCATTCTTTTTCCTTTCTTGTCTCTATCTTAATTTCTTTTTGGAAAATATAAATGTTACCATGGTATCCTAACAAAAAATGTTTCATTAATATGTAAGTAATTTACCTGATCTCATAGCACAATGCTGCATGTTTCAGATTTTTTGTAGATTCTCTGATAATAAGAAATAAAGTCCAATAATTGTGTATATAAAAGTGAGTTTGTTTTTAGAGAGACCATTATTGGGAACAGATGAAGGGATTTAGATCTATTACCACTGGGTCTTCTTGGTATTTTGTTTTCAACGAAGGAGGATTGAGGGCTTATATACTTATGAATATCATACCAAATGATAAGTGCTTGTTGTTTAATATGCATGTAGACCAATGGAGTAGATTCCTATTACAGTCACTTACTGACTTGATGCCACTGGTAAGATAAGAGTTCTAAAAACTAGATTAAAATATCACTTCTTTGATTTTTCTTTTCATTTTCCAATTTTATAATATTCTATGGTAAAATTATCTGGTTTGGAAATAAAGCAACTTAGAGCTTAAAAAGAAACACACAAGAATCCAATATGAATTAGTTATATGTAAAGTGTCCCTGACCTACACTCTACAATTGTTTATTTTGTGAACAAACAGTTTGGAATTAGAACTGCTTCCAAATTGATGTTGGAGTCATCTACTCTGACATCCTCTATGGAGGGCTTGTATGTGGAAGGATTTGGATAGAGTGGAGAATTGCACTTCGGTATCAGTAAGAATAGATGTATATGGCTATGCTACATTAATTTTACCTCCTCTGTTCCTTTTCATGTGAATATACTTGTAACACCCTGCATTGAAAACTACTTTTTAAAAGATATTTATGTAATGAAAGAAGAAAATCATCTAAAATTGTATACATAGATTGAATCTCAGTAAGGCTGACTTAACTTCTGAAACTTTTTTACTTTATTTGATTGGGATAGGATCCCGTTACATAAAATACTTTGAAGTAGGTAATCAGTATACTTTGTGGAATCTAAAAATTGGATATTTTCAATGTATGCAAATGATTTTTACTTTAGTTAATGAACTTCTTTTGAGATTTATTCTTTACTTCTGGCATTGAAGGAATGCTAACTTGATGCCAGAATTGTGACCCAGAGAGCATTCTTATTGGTGACACATGAAGCAAGACATCTAGAGATCTTAAACCTCAATAAAAATTTATATTTATGGACATGGAAAACCTATTCTTTACTTACAGTTTAAAGAGGAATTTAATTAGGCTCAGCAGTCTGATTTAATAATATAACTATCTATAGTATTAATCTTCATTTTCTATTATAATTCTTTATATTAAGATTAGTTTTCTGCTAACTCCTGAATAGGACAGCATCCATTATTTACACTCCATGTGCATCTAGAATCCATTGAGCTGTGTTGCATACAGTAGTTTGGCACACTGAGGAAAAGGAAGAGGCAGACAGGGAACACAGAATGACATGGCAACAGGGAATAGTGTTTCAGAAAATTGGGTGTCTTGTGTGTGGTATAACGTTACAACCTGAGATCCCACTTGTAGGCCAAATCTGGGATATAAATGCATATAATTTGACTTGTATGTTTTAAAGAGAGGATTTAATTATTAAACTAAGAAATAAGAGATTCATATAAGAATTAATATTTTTGACTTGAGAAAAATTGGAAGATTTGGTAATTCTGGACATGGATTTTCAGTGTAACAAGCTGTTGCGGTTGTTAGTGAGTACCTTCTCTAGAAGGGGCAAGTGTTGTGGGGAATGAGCTCCAATTTGCCATGTTTCTGATACTTCTCATTTCTACTCAGATGCTGAAGTGAAGTTCATTTGATTTTGACCTCTTTTGCTCATTTCTTCCATTTGCCTGCTTTTGGAGGCAGCTGAGTTTGCCACTCCTGTTTATTTTTGTTAGTAGGCTAGAAGGTTAGGATAATACATTTTTGTTGTTTGCTTCCTCCTAAGTGCTATGTTTTTGATATTGCCATTGAAACTTACTAGGCTGACTATGCCCTGGATCATCTAATGTGCAGTAGGTTGAGATCTGTGTTATTTAACTGAAAATAGCCATAAAGTTAGGTTTTCCATTCTTCAGTTTTTTTTCTCTAGTAATTTCTAGGAGATCTTGTGGAGCTATGTACTGTCTTTGCCTCTTTATCCTTCAGTCCTTAGATTCTTCAGCTAAGGGTTCGAATCCTGTTGTCATTTATAAGGGGAAACTCTTCATTTTTTTTCCTCTCAGAATGCCTAATGGTACATTTGACCAGAGTGCTCTTACCCAGGCTATTCTAAATGATGTTGGTGCTCTGTGCTCTCAGGGCCCAGCACTTAGGGCTGGAGCTTTTGAAGATGTAGGTGGGCCAAGTAAGTATGTTGAGTCATTTTCAGATAGAATGAGTGCTGTTCTTTCAAAATTGTTAGAATAATATAGAGTAAATGTTCCTTGAAAATGAAAATTTTGGCTATAACTAAATAAACTATTAGTATACCATTAGCCACTAGGATAATTGGAGGAAAATTTAAGACTCTTCAGCAAGATAAAACTAACTGGATTAGAGGATTAAATGTACAAAATGCAAATTTTAAATGCAGTTGATGTTTATCTGATGTTAGGGTAGGTGAAGGACTTAAGTTATTAAAGAGAAGTTATCAAAATACTTAGCTATTAGCATTTTTGGGACTTTTCATGTAGGAAAGGACATTATATTGTACATGGGTGAACACAAATCAGAAAGGTGACTTGTGTTCTTTTTCTCTGGAGAAACATATTTGTTCCTATTTTCATACTGTTCCTTTAGGCAGGGAGTTCTCCTCAGTCAATACATAGACCTTTCCCTTTCTTGTCAGTCAATACATAGTTGCTCTCAGTGAAAGTGAAACTGAGGTTTTTTTTTTTTATTCCCTTGGTTTGAACACTATAGTGAATTCTTCCTGATTTCTTATTCTCGGGCTGAATAGACATTGATCTTTCTGGAAGTTTGGACCGTCTCAAAAGTCTGCATTTCTCTTCTTTTTGAGCTTCAATAAAGACTAGCACAATTGCTAACATTGCATAGGTTAGTGGAATGACCAGTTCTACTTTGCAAAAATGAAAATTTGGGTTTCTAAGAGATTTAAAATAGAAATCTGATATAATCATTGGGGGTGGAAAGGAAGATGACAGGTATCATACAAAACACTTAAAAATGCTAAACCTGCCAGGCCAAAGTGTCAGCTAACTTCTATATATTAGCACTTTACACATTTCCATTGACTTTGACTTATTATATTTTGAGCATTAAATTTCTCTGAGATAATAGGATTTCTGAGTATTAAATTATTCACTCACCCTTTCTCTAGCTAAATAAACAGAGAATTTCCTTGATAATAGAAAGTCTCAGGGTGAGTTGCTTAAGTTAGTTGTTGGATTGCATTCTGTCGTTTCATTATTTTCATCGTATTTCAGCAGTGAAAACATCACTAAGCTCATGTAACTTGACCTAGTTATTTTCAGTTTGATAAATTGCTTTGCCTTTCTAAATTCCAGGTTTTTCATTGACAAATGACAGTAATGTCTACCATACTTAGAAATATGAAAACAGGGACACTTAAGCAATGGGTAATGCTTATGTACCTACGGTGTATCTTTGTTTTGAAAAATGCAAAATGTTGGACCATTGCATAAATTAAGATAGAATAATCTTATTTGTTATCTAGCCATTTCTTTTCTCAAATGATAGGAAGTTTTTTAATGTAAAACTCCTTGCATTAGACCTTTATAATGTATAATTGATAAGCACTATTACATCATTCTGAAATGCAAAGAATGGATACATTTTGGACTACAGAAGACCTTTGCCATTTCCTGAAGAGAAGGAAGGTTTAGTAGTTTTATAATAATGTTGTGATCATAGAAGTGGTGAAAGATAAGTTTTTAGCTTTTGTTTGGTAAAATGAAAAAGTAATTACAATGTTGAAACTCTTTGGTTATAAAATGAAAATGGATAACTGATACCTTAAAGTAGAATATAATAAAAAGTGGAATCTCTTTAAAAAATCAGTTATAGTTTATGATCTTAAGGAATCTGGGAAGTATTTGATGAAGATATCTCGAGTTCAACTGTAGACCTTTATATACTTAAATTTTTTAAAAAATTTTATTTCATAGTCATAAACTTAAATCTGTAGTCCAGCTAGACTTGGAGTAGGATAAGGAAAATATGAATGAAAAGGAGAACACAGATTATAGAATATTTTGAACAGATAGGGGATAAAGGGAATCTTGACCTCCCAAAGGAATGAACTGGTGGCTAATATAAAACAAATTAAATTTATTAAATTTATTCACAACCAGCAATAGTTTATTACCACATTCCTTATTCTGGCATTCAGGGTCATCTAATAACTCATCTCTGCTGACCTTTTAGTTTCACTTCTACCCGTAAGTCCATGCCTTCATGGCCCTCACAGTGATTTACATTTCCACTAATATGTGACTAGCAGATGTCTCTTATAGCACCTCCCACTTTTGGCCACTTTTAAAAAAATGAGTCTTTCTTTGTCATAGTAAAGCTCTTCAAATGAAGACCTGGCATATCCTTCTATTCTCAGGACCCAACACATTTCCTGATATATTATTCATGGTCAGCTAATATTTATTGAATGTGAAAGGTGGTTTTTGTCTCTAAGTTAGAGACAATCTTGGAAAGATTAAATATAGAACAGATAAACTGATAAAAGTAGTTTCATCTCATTAGAGACCTTTAGATATAGGTTATGTCCAGAGACAAATAGGATTGAGGAGGGTACAACTTTAGAATACCCTGCTTTTTACCAGAATCATACTGGAGATGAAGGATGGCATGTAATGTGAGTGAATTTGCACACTTAGAAAATGTGACTTAAGTATAAAGAAGGGCTATTTGACAGATGTATGTAGGAATAAAAATGAAGCCATATGGCAGTAGACTGACTCTAGTAGCATTAGTCTTATTAAGTCTATGAGAGTCATACAAGGTGATGGCCATGCTAATCAGAAAGAAATAATACAAGAATTCAGGGAGCAATGGCATACTTGTATTCTTGTTTATACTGTCTTGGACCTATTAACACTGTGAGTATGAAGAGTTAGATTAGGCTTAACCAGAATGTTCTTGGTTTAGTGGAAAAGAATGCTATAAGAACGCTGAAAGAATTCAAGGGAGTGGGAGGGGGAAGTGGCTCTATTCTATTAGCGACCTCTATTAGTTGATGGTTTCTATTTTTTATGAGTGACAGTGAATCTGTTATCAGTTGGCTTAGTATATAGTTGAATGCGTGTACATTTATATACTTTATTTTTTTAATATTTTTTATGTTTTTACATCATTTTGTGCATTTTTCTCTCAGTTGTAGTCCCCTAGGGCTTCCCACCTGTTTATATACTTTAAGTAAATACATATTTTTCAAAATGTGAACGTAACAGTGAGCTATAAGTTTCAAAAAACATTAAAATTTTTTCTAACTAGGTTTGTTACAGAAAGAAAAAATGGCCATTGAAGCATTTCAGATTTGCTGCCTCCTTCTGCCACCAGAAAATAGGAGAAAGTTACAGCTATTGATGCGGATGATGGCAAGGATCTGCTTAAATAAAGAGATGCCACCGTTGTGTGATGGCTTTGGCACCCGAACCCTGGTTGGTTGATATCTAATGTGACTTGAATTTTTGGAAGAAAATTCCCCTGAGTAAAGTTTTCTGAGTTAAAGTTTAACTAAGTAGGCCAGCAGAGGATAGTACAAGGCAGACTTGCATAAAGAACCGTCCCTTCCTTCTACCCAGAGGGGTATTGTGCTTTTCGTGTCTTATGTTCTTAGTGTCTTAAGAACATAAGGGCAGGCTCTGAGTTCAGATTTAAACTGCTGCATCCTGCCTATTGGCAACACAAAGAGGGATGAAGACAGAAAGGATACAGGGGCTTTGAAGAACAACATTCTCTTCAGGACAAAAAGGATTGTAAAACCTTTGCTACTATAATCAATAAGAGAGATTAGAATATATTGTAGATTAAAGTGAAAGAAGTAAAATACAAACTTGTGCCAGAACACTTGGGAGGAGAGAGAAAACTTGTGTTTCATAGAGCATGGTCTAAGGGTCCATGAGTGTCTCTTAAAATATTCTCAGAATTGCTTAAAATCATGCTAATTTTGAATTCTGCTTTGTAATGCCACTATGTGTTTTTTAATAGAAATTATACCTAGAATTACTAGCAAAATTTCTTAATTCTCCTGAAAAAAAGTTTTAGAGCAGAATCAATGCTTCATTAGAATATGTATCCTTTCTCTACTCTGGTGAACCACTGTGTATGCCTGAGGATCCCCTGGCTCAGTGGATGTTGGGGTAAGGTCAGACAGCATTCAGTGCATGGTGGAGTAATTCTTGACCTTATTTTGGATTGGTAAAGGGCTAATGGACCTTTGTAGGAAACTGAAGTAAACTTTCGTACCTATTACCCAGAAAAATGCACGTGTAAGATTTTGCCTATGATTTCTAGTCACTCATAGATTCTCTGGTGTCCACACTTTTCAGTTAAGAGTCTCTAGCTGTGGGCCTCTCACATACATAGAGTGAGTGAAATCATGTGTTCTCTGCAGTATATTGATGAAATTCAGTCTTATTAAACAGAGTTACATGATTTTATAATGTGTGCTTACGTAGCTTCCATTCGGAAGGATGGGATAGTTAATATGAAGTGTATGAAAGCAGCTGCTTGTAAAATATTTTATATTTCTATGTGCTATAAAGAGAATCTTATTCATCATTTAATGCTTGCCTTGTAAAACCTCATGGCTGTGTTTGAAGGTAATTGTCAAATGTACATCCATCCCTAGATAAAACTTTTAACTAGAAAAAAATATGCTAGAGGCACATAAACTGCTAGCAGATTAAAAATATTAATAATGAAATTGGGGTTTAATAAGACTAAATAAGCATTAAGAACTTTGAATTTAAAAGTGCTACATGATCCATGTCATGTGATGATAGAAATTTTCAGAATTTTGCGTGTGTGTGTATATGTATGTAACCCCTCTTAACAGACAATCATTTTGTAAAGAGGTACTTTTAACAGCTGCACAGACAAATCTCTGCTATGTCTCTGAGAGGCAATGCACCTTTCTTCATGCTGGTTGATGAGGTCAGCCCATCTGAGGTGACAGGGGTACCCAGGTGCCATCCAGCACCTGGTAGAATGACTGCCATCCAGGTGCCAGGTAGAATGTACACCCTGTGCTTTGGGCCATTTCTAGTCAAATTTGCTTTTTTTTGCTGTTTGCAAATTATATTGCATTCAGTTCAGAATAGGAAGAAGAAGCTCATCTGTGTTTATTTAAATATCCCCTCATTCCTTTTAGATGGTTCAGACATTTTCACGTTGCATCTTGTGCTCCAAGGATGAAGTGGACTTGGATGAGTTATTAGCTGCCAGGTTGGTGACATTTCTGATGGACAATTACCAGGAGATTTTGAAAGTACCTTTGGCTTTGCAGACCTCCATAGAGGAGCGTGTGGCTCATCTCCGAAGGGTCCAGGTAAGGAGGATATTAGCAGTTCTGCAGTACTGCCAGGGGAAAGTCATGCACGCACGGCAGGATTCTGGGATGTTTTTGTTAAAAGGGTTAAGTGAAGTAATGTGTACAAAGTGCCCACAGCATGGCTGGCACCTAGAAAGCACCATATATTTGTTTGTGTTATTTCAAATTTATGGAATGTCTATGTAGTTTTGTAATATCAAACTGCCTACTTTTAATTGCAAATGTCTTAAATGAATTTGTTTAGAATTCACATATACTTTCTGTTGGAAATCATTTATGCTTAATCTATAAATAGCCCAATAATTTATAATAGCCTATTGGTTTCTATGTTTTATATGAGAAAGCCCTAAGGCACACAAAAGTTAACTTGTCCAAAGCCAGGTTTTAAACTGATCAGTCTATTTCCAGAAACAGTGCTTTTGACCTCTGTATTGTACTGCCTCTACAAAACATGGCGTGGAGGAGAACATGGCTTTAAAGCCATAGAGATCTCCACCACACTCCTGGCTCCTCTCTTTCCTGGTTATGTGGCTTTGGGCAAGTCCCTGAACCCCTTTGGATTTAGTTTCACATGTATGAAAATGGGCCATTCCTGCTCTGACATTGTTTTAAGAAGAGTAGAATATCATATACAACCCCTCACAAAAAATCCCAACATGGCACTCTTTGAAAGCTAGCTATTCGTATTTCCTTGTTAATGTCATGTTAAAGCAATGCAAAAGAAATATGTGAGCCTGTGGGAACAGACCTTTTTAGAAAAGGCTGGTAGGTTTGCTTGGCTCCATCTGAATAATCCGAATAATTAAAGGACCTCTTTTCCCTTAAGTGATTTTTGAGGCTCCACAATTAAGGACCAATTTACTGCTACCTCCCAGCTGGTTCCATTGTGAAGTTTAAAAATTAAAAATTTACTTCAGTTTTTTTGGGTCACCATCTTAATATATAAAGGACTTTGGAAAATAGAAAATATGTTCAGCCAGTATTGCAGTCTTTGAGGTGCTTTTCTGTTCCCTCCCTCCTTCCAGTCTCTCTTTGATAACTTTCTCTTAACAATACAACAACAAAAATTTCCACATCATTAAATATTCTTAGGTGACACTAGAGCAGCCAAGAGCAAGGCTCTGGGTCCTACTATCCACTCTTAGTTCTGTTACCTTGGCCGTGTGGTTCAACGCCTCAGCTTCCACATCTGTTTACTTTCTCTCTTTTTGCATCTGTAAAACTGGGATATTAATATCAACCTTCTGGGGTTTTGGAGATTAAATGGCTTACAAATTATAAAGAACTTAGAATAATGTTTATCACACAGTGAGGCCTCAGTTGGTAATTGTCATCATTATCGTTATTATGGCAATATATGAATATACTTTAACTTTTTGAAAATTTTTTGGATTGATATTTAGGTCTTTCCATGTTTTAAACGTTTTAAAAAAATATTTAAAAAAAGCAAATACTTGTCTAAACTTCTGTAAGGAAAAGCGGCGGCAGTAACTACCTTGCTTGTACACTCACGCAGTTCATGTATCCACACAGCGCAGGCATGTGTGTTTAGTTCTCCCACTTTCCTTTTGCAGTGTCTGTACTGTAGCTTTGCTTTTCGTTGAAGAACAGAAGACTGAGCTATGAGATTGACTCAGGGTAACACGATCTTGTGAAAGAGCACTGTGATGACCCTGAGTGAAATCAGCAACTCTCCACCACTGATTGTCCAATTATGTTTTTTCTTTTAGAAGTACTCATTAGAATAACCAAATAATTGTTTTTATGGAGCCTGTAGATGGCTATTCTCTCACGCAGGCTCTCAGCCCCTGCGTCTTATCACATGTAGGGCAGCACACCTCTGGAAGTAAACAGTGCTGCTTGCCCTGTTCTAGTGACTGTTTGGGCCTGTTTCCAGGCTGACACTGGGCTAGATGAGTTATGGGAGGCAGCCCGTAGCTATGTAGTTATTCTCATGTCCTTGGATTCTGGCTGTCAGACTTTATCTGAGCCTCACCCTTTATTTTAGTCCTTTCCTGTTTTCTCTGGTCTTCTTCAAATTAAAAAGAGGTGTCCTGTGTTTGCCTCTTTCCCTTTTGTTTCTGTGCTTTTCTCTGGGTGTCTCTAATTCTCCTAGTAAACTCATGTTAAGGCATGGAGTATACTTCATATAATCACCCTTCTTGGTAATATATTTAGTTTTTTTTCTGGAAAATTTTTTAGAACAAAGAAATGAATGTAATAGGAATTTTATCCACCGAAGAAGAACAAAATAGTAGGTGTTATAGTTTTGAAAAGATGAACGTCTTGTATTCTGAAATTAAGTATTTTACTGGATGCTCATCTATTCACAGGTGTTGATACCTTTTTTTCTCTTTAGTTCTCCTCCTCCCACTTGCCCTGTGTAGCATCTGCACATTGTTTTGTTTTTGCTTTTAATATTTTCGGAAATGGTTGGGTACATCTCTCTAATAGCTGAGCTATGTGGGTACCTCTGTCCTCCCCGCTGATGGTGGCTCAGACTTCAGATGTGGGACAGAACCTTGATAGTTCACAGTGTGTATTCAACATTGTAACTGTTTTCAATTCTTTTTTGTCCATATGTTTAGTTTGTGTAAATTTCAATTTTATTAAAGGAGGGCACATGTTTTTTGTTTTGTTTATTTAAATGGCTCAAGTTTAAAAGGTAAAAATCTCTTATTTAAAACTGTAGCTTTAAGTGATTTTTTTTTAAAGATTTATTTATTTGTGCATTCAGAACTGGGGTACAGGCCAGAGACTCAGGGGCGGCGAGAGGCTTCATCAGAGACAGAGTGGGAAGCAGAACAGGCAGATTGACGAAGTACATTGCTGAGAGGAGCAGCAGGCTGGTGCTGCCACGCCATGTGGTCACCTCTGGGGCAGGTGGGAATCGAACTCATGCGGAAGTGGCTTTAGTTTCTCAGTGCTGTGCTTTAACCCCCTGCGCCACCAGGGAGGGCCACTTTAAGTGATTTTTTAAAAAGATTATGAATAAAGTTCACTATAGTTTTCCCTATATAATTTGAGGAACATTATGGCCAGGAATATTTGATCTGGACTAACTTTGGTATTTACTTGAAAATACAGGTTTCCCTTTCATCACTAATCCTTTTGTCTCAGATAAAATATCCAGGAGCTGATATGGATATTACTTTATCTGCCCCATCATTTTGCCGACAAATTAGTCCCGAGGAGTTTGAATACCAAAGAGCATTCGGCTCTCAGGAACCTCTGGCAGCCTTGTTGGAGGAAATCATAACAGACAACAAACTCTCTATGAAAGAGAAGAAGAAAAAATTGAAGCAGGTAAATAGGGTGTTCCTCAAGTTATTTCTTCTCTCTACTGTTAGGTGATTATATTTTTCTTTTTATCCTCAGTAGGTATCATATGAATCTCATTTGAGACATAGCAGGTTTGAAAGTATATTATTCGGTTCATATATCCAGGAATTTCATTCTTTTACACCGTGGATACCAATTTCCTAGCTCTTTCTTCTCCAATGTAGCTCTTCTACCATTATTGAACTTGTTTTTCATTTCTCTAATATTTGCCCTCTGTTTTGATAATGTGGTATGATGTAAGCTAGCAGTTATTTTAAGTTTGAAGAGAATCTACTGAATGAGGACAACAGATTCCTTTTGACTTTTTATTTATTTATTTACTTATTTTTAAAAACTTTTTTAAAAAAGATTTACTTCTGCACACAGAACTGGTTATAGGCCAGAGGCACAGGTGCTGTGAGAGGATTCGCCAGAGACAGTGGGGAGTAGAACAGGCAGATCAATGAAGTACACTGCTGAGGGAAGCAGCGGGCAGGTCAGGAGAGGTCTGCCACACCATGTGGGTTAGCTCCAAGGCGGGGATTGAATTCATGCTGAAGTGGCTTTAGCTTCTGAGTGCTGTGCTTTAACCCACTGCGACTTCAGGGAGGGCTCCCTTTTGACTTTTTTTTAATTTTATTACAAAGTTTATTTTTACATCATTTTGCACATTTTTTTTTTCCATCTCGATTGTAATCCCCGCGGGTTTCCCATCACCAAATCACCCCTGTGCCACCACCATAGTCCCGTGCATTTCCCTCCCCCCCCCCCCATTTTTGATCCCATTCCCCACTCAACCCCCACAGAATGTCTCTGGTATATGGTTGTTCATTATTTTTGTTATTTTCTCGCCTGGTCCATTATACTCCTGCTATGCCTTTTGACTTTTTAAAAGGAAAAATCAGACTACATTTACAAATGTAAAATATCTAGAATTTAATAAAACCTTAATTAATAAAAAACCTTAATAAAACATCAAATTGGTTTCTTGTCTCTGGAATCACTAAAAGTTTTTATGTTCTGTTAGGCAATATTACTTGGGGTTACTGAGAATAGTTTTTAACTACAAAATAGGTTTACTTTGACCAATATAAAAATATTTATCCAAAGTCAAGTAAATGGTTTTTTCCTTCTGAGTGACTGAATCCTTACCTGCATTGCTTGATTCCTGATCACACCATATATAATTGGGTTAAACACAGAGCAGAGTACCAGATTCTCTGTCATATTTTATTCAGAGAAACTCTGGAGAAGAGTTCAATGGTTTTTACAAGTATTGTGTACCATTTGGGCAGAAGTAGTTGTGGCTGAATTGGGAGTAGGTGTAGTTGAATTGGATAAACAGGGAGATAGTGAAATGTATTTGGGCCAAATTTTTCTGTGTTAAATAAATACAAGTTATTTTTTTAAGTCAGAGTTACTCATGAATTTTTTTTTTAGTTGGCAGTGGGGGACATTTTAAGAAATATGATTGAAAGAAATTTATTTAAAGATTAGGTCATATTAAAGATGACCTATAGATCTACAGAAAGTGGAACCAAACTATAACAAATAGAAATGGATTTGTATTGAAGTGAATTTGATGGCGATTTTTTCTCTTAGCTGTTCTCTTTACTGATGGAAAGCAATAACCTTTAAAATAGGAAAATCTAGGACCAGAGACTCATATATTTTATCATTTTTTTCCCTTTCCTTGGATTCTTTTTTTTTAGTTTCAAAAATCTTACCCTGAAGTCTATCAAGAACGATTTCCTACACCTGAGAGTGAAGCACTTCTGTTTCCTGAAAAGTCGAAACCCAAACCACAGTTGCTAATGTGGGCACTAAAAAATCCTTTTCAACCGTTTCAAAGAACCAGAAGTTTTCGAATGTAATACTTCTATAGCCATTAGAGACATCTGCTTTGGCTGTTTTGGATAAATGGATAAATAGAAAAAGTGAACTATGATGAAGAAATAATGAAGAGCATAAAATAGACTACTAAAATATAAAGGTTATCTGATTTCAAAAAATGTTGAGCCATGTCAGTATTTTTATAAAACGGCTGTTTTTAAAGTGCACAGATTAGTTAAAAATTATGAGACAAGCATACATTGGTAATGTTAACATGTCATTAATTGTTACAGAATTTAAAAGTGTTTTCATTTTTTTTTTCATCATTTTTATAAAATACTTGTGTGTACATCCTAGTTATGGATGTCTTTGTTACAACCAGGTCTTTATATTAATGTATATACTTGAACAAGAAAGGCACTGGGTACTGTTACTGTGATGCTATTGACTTAATAGCCAGTTGTGATTTCTCCTTTGTAAATTCTGTTTGTCATTGTTGCACAAAGATTTTTGATATCTTGTATTTTAACTGTCTTTTATTGCAGATTTTTTGGATGGCATGGCACATGGCAGGTTTACTAAGGTGGTTCTTTTATAACATATATTTTAGTCGGTGTTTACCTCTAAGTGGTATCTGCCTGCAGTGGTATAATGTTAGTCTTGGCTGGAGATGGAAAATTAGAGTGGATAAATTCATACAGTTCCCTTAAAACTGTGATTCTAAGTGAAAATTTTGTTTCATGGAAAATACAAATGGGTCAAATAAAATGAGACTACTTCATAGATATTTTTCTCTAGCCACCTCATCCTCTTGAAAGGAACTAATAATGTAAATAAATATTCTTCTTTATACTGCACATGGTGATTCTCTTGGTATTTATTTAGGTCAGATGGCATCCTCAAAATGCTACATATCATTGCCTTGACTACTGTTCTCATGTCAGTAATTTATATGATAAAATAAGTGTATGCTAGCTTTTGGGAAGGTATATTTATCTTTCTCGTTACCTTTGCTTTGTCTTTTTACAAATAGTGGTATGCTTAGATTATGATGCACCTGTAATACTTTCTGAGCGTAATTACAAAAAACAAAACCAAAAATAAACCAAGGGTAACACTCACTAATTGGCTTACTCTCATCTTTCCACTGATTTTTT